AACAGTTTTACAACTTTTTAAGCCAACATTCAAAGTTTGTCAAACCTTACTTGTCTAATTAAAATTACACTTAAATGCCCTTATGTTATTTAGTAAATTTCAAACTAAATTCGAATTACAATTCTGCATCATGTTTGGTACCTAATTTAAAATTCAAACGAAATTCCATAACTGAACTTTAATTTAAATCATTCTTGATTCAGTTCTGAATGGCGTACAGTGCAGCATATTTTATGGTCTGTACTGGAACTGTTTTTCTGTTGCATCGGTTATTATATTTTCTGCCATCTCCGTGTTGTGATAACCGACACTTGGAACGTTTTCACAGGTGACATTATTCCCAAACACACCTTAGCCCTGGAGAATAGCAAAATGTGTGGCGTTGTGAACAACAATGCCCTTCAGGAGCTCACCTAAACCCTTTTGTTCAGTCCACAATGGCTGCGGTTCCCACCCTTTTCTTCTAAACAGCAAGAAAAGAATAATGCATACCTTGCAAGAAAATATCAGTATCCTGAATCACACTCCTAATCAGGCCATTGCATAAAAACACTCAAGGACGCTGCCAACGCCACTCCTCGAACTTCGCAAATAATCGAGAAAGAAAGGACTGAGTGGGCAAAGAATCAATAGGAAGAGGGGAATATCTGATGAAATGTTTTCTTGTCAATGCTCAACCTCATCACCCCTCCCTTCCCTGGTTTGACCTTCCTCTGTGAGCACATCCAGCCACAAAGAGGCTCCATTCTCTCGGGAGATAGAGCGCCTTGCTCCTGTGCAGAAACTCTATCACCTGCCTAAAAGAAAACTGTGTCATCTCCCCCCTCCAGCCCAGCAGGAAGTCTCCAGCCAAGCAGATCACACACCCTGTAATATTCGCGGTCACCTTCAGCGTGCCACCAAACGTTCTCACAGTCTGCCATGTTTCATGATGCTACATATTGGATGTAGTTGTGGATTACACTGACCACAGGGTAGTGACTTGGCACTGTGAAAAGAAAGCCATCTTCAAAGAAAGAGTGTGGCCAGGGTCTGATTTGCCAGTGTAAACATGGTTTTCTAGAATACTGGCTTCTGATTGGCCGATTATGCCATCAGGTCTTTCAGGTGATTAAATCTCATTTTTTACTTTTAGACTTTTTAATGTAATTTAATTTAATTATGTTTATACACACACACACACACATATAGATATATAATGAAACATAATATATACACATTACAAAACTAATATAAAGACAAGATAAAGTCTGCCAAGCGATTACATTTCATTTTTCATTTTTAAACATTTTAATCTAATGAATTATTGCACACTACGTTCATACATTTTTTTCTAAGTGGAAGCCTAAGATAATATGCAGGTAAAATTATAAAATAATTCCAACTCAAATCAATATTTCATCGTATTTATTTGAAGGTAATACTGTAGGAAAATAAGGTAAAAATGTTAACTAATAAGTATCAATATACTTCACCGGCTGATTAATTACAGTACATTTAAGACAATTGTTTTGAATTGTGTTATGATTAAAAATGCAAATGAGGCATTACATTTGGACATATTTGCATACATTTCCAGAACAGAAATCTGAACATTTGGTTAAATTTTCATATTGTTTACATATTCATGTAAAGTGTTTTTACAAAAGGGATTTTGGATATCCATTTATATCACTCTATATATTAGAAAATACTATAAACAGCCAGAAAACTCGCCATGTTTTTAGGAATAAAATGTTATAAATCAGACAAATGATATGAACACACAACAAACAAATATACAAACAAACCACTCAATAAAAACTTTCAGAATATAGTGCTCAGTGCATGAGAAAAACAATGTTTTGAGAAAAAAAGCCCTTTGAGGATATGTATTTCAATTAATCTAGAGACACAAATAGATAAAGTTTAATAAAGTGTAAGTGTAAAGTTTTTTTGGGGGGGGCCTATGCTGCAATTATGCATGCCATTGGTCAGTTTAGCGATAGCGATATTTGTTTTACAAATTATGGTGTGTTTTTTTTCTCAAATTCTTGAGATAAAGCTAACAAGACACCAGATTAAATGACCTACATGGTTTGAATGAAACCAAAATAAAGCAGATGCTTAACTGATAAATCAAAGTAATAGGCCCCGTTTAACATTTTCTTCCTCCTTGCTGTTGAGTGAATAGATATTAGATAACAAATAAGCTCAGAATGTCTTTCATATCCTCAAAGACTGTTCTCTGAATCTTGGCCCGCCGTGGATTTGCAGTAAGTGCTTTTGGTTAAACTACAAAGAAAGCCTCAGTGAACTGCACTGTTTGGCTTTGGACATACAGTTCCTTCCTGTTCATGGAAATTTTGTCTCTGAAATGTGTTTTTGGTACACCAAAAATTGGACTTCCTTATGGGTTAATACCCGAAAACACAGCTCCATATTAATGAAAATGTGTTCCACCTGAGAAAAGGAAGGCTATACAGAGTATTTCAAGAATTTAATTAAATCTGGACATTTTTGCTCTCCATACACACACCAGTAGGCCTACAGAAAAGCAGTTTGCTACGTTTAGCGTTTACTAATATAACCTTACATTATTCAGTGTAAATTAAGAAAACATCAAGATTGAAACGAAATACAAAAAAAAAAAAACTTACTGACAGAGAGAGAGAGCGTCGAGAGTTTGTTGTGACTGAGGCGGATTGTGGCGTATTGTGGATCAATAGCGACCTCTGCTGGCTATGTACAAAACCACTAACGTTTAGAATCACAATAACAAATGTGATGCTAATCAAATTAGAACACTGTATTTTTTTTCTTCGTATTTGTAATATATGATTTTTTCTTCAATCTTTTTGTTTGAGTGTGATATCCAGAACAAATCAGAACAAATGAGAAATATAGGCTAATAGTATCACATTTGGTCTTCAAAACCTAGAAGTAATGTTAAACTTGGCTATTTGGCCATCTAATTAGAATGAATGAACAAAGGTATGTATATATGTGTGTGTATATATATATATACATATATATTAGATAATTTTATATTTATAATAATTTACTGATGCCCCTATTGACCACCTGGCCTCTGGTTAAGAACTACTGTATCGTGTGGCCAGAAAGCTCGGTCACCACTAGATGGAACTAGCCTATTAATTAAGATTTTCCTTGTCTATTAGTCTTAAATTTTAAACTGTTGTCAGATCGTATGAATGATAGGCCTGCATGAAATGCACATGCACATTTTCTATTGTGTATTGAATACTATGGTATTCTACTCTACATTCCAGTTCTGTTCTAGTATAATGATGTATTATAACAGTTAGAAGAGGATGACAAATCATGGTGGTTTATGAAGTCATGAGTTTTAGCAGTCAGGTAATGCTTTCCTCATTGTAAGCTCAGTGAAACCCAGAACGCTCAGCCCGCTGCAGACATATGCAGACAGTGCTGGAGAACGTGAGAGCCTTTTCTGAGCTGTCCTTGCCTGACAAAGTGCTTCATCTCCTGTGAGACTCCCTCAAGGGACCCGTTCCGTGTTCTGGGAAACTAACGGCTCGACAGCTGCAATCCTCCACAAACGTGATGAAAAGTCGGCTTCCTCTTTAAACCGCACACATTCTAATGACCACATGGGCACAAGCTCACACAATTTGGGGTTCTGCAATTTGGAAAATACAGTAGCCTATTTTGAGTTGTGTACTCTTGGGCGATAACTTTAAGGTGATAACATGAAGCATCCTGAAAGATTGTTACACATTTGATAAATGGACGCACACGATGTTGAGTAGCCTAGTCTTTATAAGGGACTAAAACCGTTTACGTAGGCCCTATAGGCTATTCAGAAAGTTTACAGAGTATGGACTTTATGAAATTTATTTAGCCTATATATATTCATTCATCAAAGTATTCCTCCTAAGAAAAGTGGCATGTATGTGTAAAATAGTTCTCAGTTCTCACAAACTAAATCAGCGGAATCAAACATAGCCTACTACGATTCAACACGATAAATGAGATAGGCCTACACTTGTTCATGTGACAGAGTGATTTCCCAGCGAACATGGAACGTTCTCATAACTTTAGCGTTTAATATTTTGGCATGGTTCTCTCAAAGTTATGAACAAGCTTTAAAGGTTCATTCAAATGTATGTTAGCATATCGTTCATGGAATGTTTTTCTGAAACATTTTAGTTAGACATTATCTAACTGTCTAAAAATGTTACTACTGACAAGTTCCAGATAGCCCAATTTAAGAGAATATTCAAAAGTAGCATTACCATAATAGGCTATGCAAAGTTATAAAATGGAATGTTCACCTAATGTTTTCTCTAACGTTCACATAAACAAGAAAAAACGTTCAGAGAATGTTCACAAATAAAGTTTTCAGACCTTAATGAGAATGTTTGCAAAATGTTCTTAGAATACATTTTTGTTTGCTGGCTGGTACAAGATTATTATGCATCAAGGTCGTGAAGTAGTGTAGACATTCATTGAGCAATTCATTCAGTGATAATGTAAAGCACATTAAAAGAAAAGATAGAACAAGCCACAAATATCACATTCATAAATAAACTTAAACATACTTTGGAGTATAACATATGTGGACAAATGTCAAGATATCAAGCATATTTTGTGTTCTAGTCCATCTAGCCTTAATTACATAGGTCATGTTGCTGCTTAGTGAAAAATAAAATGTATTTTTAAATGACTGCCGGATGGTTAGAAAATTACAAGTGCCTTAAAAAAAAAGTGCTTCCCTGGCTATGGAAGTTGTTCTTTTTTCACAAGAGCTGGTTTTAAGCTAAATACAGACATAATTTCAAATATTTCAACACGTATAGTAATATCTGTTTTTGTTTGCTAGAATGAACATAAAAAACATCAGGCTATATAAAGACAGATTTGTGTGCAATGACTTGTGTTTAAATTGTAGTTGCATTCATTGCATAATGTCCATTGATGTAAGTTCAAAGGAAGTGCATGAGTACAGACAGTAAAGAGAGAGATGGAGGGGGATAAAAGACAGAGAGGTGCCAGATGTTTATGCTGTAGCTCCACATAGTCTGACCGCTGCTGAAATGTCTTTGGTGTCCTCTGATCGTGCTGAGACCACAAAAGGCCAGGTCTGTGGAAAAAGAATAAAAAAGTCAGCCACACATTGCTGGTAGATTGCCATAAGATGCAGATGCGAACGCATGTAATGCTTAGTGTACTGTAAAGTATTACTTTTATTTTTAAATATTTATAGGATTTATTTTAATTTTATGTTATTGATAGCCTACTTAATACAAAATAAAAAAAATAATAAACCATTCAATATATTAACATATATACTTCATTTTAACAAGACAAATGATTTATGATCATTAAAATTACATTATAAATTATTAAAATTATAAACTATATATTCATATAGTATATTTGCTGTTACTGTAATATGTCAAATAAAATATGTACGGTAAAATATTTATATTTATGAATATTTTTTTAAATGTATATTATTTATATTTAATAGAGAATATTAAAAATAATATCCACATGGTTACTCTTTATTTGAAGGTGTCCTTGTTACAGTGTAATTATACATTTAAGTATTGAGCAATATCAATTAACTACATGTGCTTACTATATGGTGAGGTTTAGGATTACGATTTGGTTTAGGGGTACTTGCATGTAACTATGCATAATTACTTGTTATTGTCATGGTAAGGACATGCAATATATATATATATATATATGTGTGTGTGTGTGTGTGTGTGTGTGTGTGTGTGTGTGTGTGTGTGTGTGTGTGTGTGTGTGTGTGAATCTGTAACATATAATTCTTATTCAGGTATATTCATAATTGAGTATTTAAATTCAAATAAACTTCTTTAGCATTATACCATGGTACAGTAATGGTATCTAATATTAATACCTTAGTACTGAATAATTCCCATGTATCATGGTATTTTTATGGTACTCCTAAAGCACAGTACTTCAACAACAATAAAATGATGCTAATATATGGTACATTTACAAGAACTTACAAAATGTAATATAGATGATGTATTTTACAAGTAATGCTGAGCAATAAATCTTCTCGACCAGATGGAAGTGTATAAATTCCTGTGACAAACTCAACAACACTCACTCATACCAAGTTTACAGGATGCACAAAGCTGTTCTCGTATCTGTCCTCCTGCAAGAGCTGTCTGAGGTGAGAAATGTAGCTGGATGCCAGACGCAGCGTGTCTAGTTTTGACAGTTTGGTGTCTGCCGGTACCCACGGCAGGCTGGTCTTCAGCCGCGAGAACGCTTTACTCAGAACCCTCATACGTGCCCTCTCTCTGGCGTTAGCTGCGTTTCTCTGAGACTGTCTGCCATCCTTCCCCATCTTCATTTGTTGCTTGTTGTTGTTGGCAGCAGCTCGAGGTTTGGTCTTTGCTATCAGACTGTCATCGATACTAAACTCATCTTCTGAGTCTTCTAGAGAACGCGTGTCCATGTGAGTGATTGACAGCTCCTGGAGATCTTCAGGATCACTCACCGAACCCGTGGACATCTCAACTGCACCTGCTTCAGAGCAAAGAACTTGATTTCCTGCGTTTCAGTGGTATATGATATTCAGTGTCCTTGCTGTAGATTCAAAGCAACAGGTGCTGCCTTAATTTTAAATCTCTGTAGAAGAAGCCGAGGCAGAAAAAGGCGCATCAATACAGGGCCATTATTTAAAGGCATTCAGCATCTTCTGAATGTAATGGATGTTAAATTGGTCAAGCAGACGGTATATTCTACCAGTCTTCGCTGAGCATTTCAGAGTTTTTCCTGCGGTGTCCCAAGCACATTTAAGGTTTGGGGTTTGGCAGGGTCACTCTGGATCAGGCATTTCTCCTCCCCTTTTCCCCATCTAACTTTTGGCAAGATGACTTGACACAGTGGCACTGACAGCATATGCAGCATGAATCCATGGAATCTACCATTTTTCTCACGATTTTTAACTGCACTACATAAAACAGCCTGCAGATCTAGTGATTTATTGGTTTATATTTATATTAAAAAATGATTTATTCATAAAAATCACAGTCTTTCAGAAATAATTCTAATGCACTGATTTGGTGCTCAAGAAACATTACTTTTTATTATCAGTGTTGCTGCTTAATATTTTGTGGATACAGTAATACATTACTATTCAAAATATGCACTTTTATATGCAGTTTTTTTAAAGAAATAAATATTATTATTCAGTAAGGATGCATTAAATAGATAAAAAAGTGACAATAAAAACTATTTTTAAAAATGCTGTTCAGTGAACTTTATATTCATCAAAGAATGCTGGAGAAAAACATGTCTCACAGTTTTTGACAAAAGTATTAACTAGCAAAAGCTGTTTTCAAAATGAACAATACAAATTATCATTAATAATTGGGCACCAATAATAACTGATAATAACTGAGCACCAAATAAGCATATTAGAATGATTTAGGAAGGATCATGTGACATTGAAGACTGGAGTAATAGCTGAAATTAAATTGATGAAAATTCAGCTTTGCTGTCACAGGAATAAATTACATTTGAAAATGTATTAATACAGAAAACTGTTATTTGAGATTGTAATATTTTACAATATTTTTTTTTATTAAATTCAGCATAAGAGGTATACAAAATAATATATTCAATATTCATTTAATATTAATTAAAAATTCTGAATACATGCACATTATATGCACACACATATATATCGAATAAAGAATATTTAATAAATATTTATTGAATATTAAATAATACATAGGTATTTAATGCATATATATATATATATATATATATATATATATACATCAATGTATAAAAATATTATTAAATCAGCTTTAAACATGGAAATATGTTTATGTCTGTTATTTAAATAATAAATCATTACTTTTACTTTTTACTTCACAGTACATTTATTAATTTATTATACAATAAAAGAAATTGCCCATAAGTAAAGAATAATAAATGTAAAATACATAATAAATGAATTGAATCAAATTAAAAGGCATTCTCCAAAACAACCTGCTTTACACTAGCGTAACCCCAACCAATCTAGCCACACTTCAATTAAATTATTTAGTGAAAACGTTGTGGAAAACTTCAGTTTCTTATTTCTTCAGTTCAGTGGTCACCCACGGTCCACTTAAATGCCTTTTCCCACATGCTCTTAAGCAAATAGAAATGTCTGAAGGCTTATCAAACGTTCTTAATCCACTGGCCATTTCACAGAGATATTGGGTTTCTGCTTGGTTAGAGCGCTCTCACACACACTCGCTGCACATTGGCCACAGCTGTCAGCACTTTACATTACCTCTGCAGGATGGGGGGCAATCGCTGGGACCCTGTGGGTGAAGGAGAAATACACATGTTGACATTCTTCACGTGATCACACCGTGCTCTCATTTGTCTCTCTTATCATGCAGAACCATGTAAACATTGCACATGCCAGCAAATTAAAATGATTTTTATTTCATTATACTTGGCAGATGTCAGTTCAGCTGTGTTATAGGAAACTTTGTATGACTGCCTCTTCAGTGGGGGCTGCTCATATTGGCGATTGAATGACACATCAAAGTGGGCCATAGCTATTTTGGCATATAAATGAATAATTTTCAACATTATACAGAATTCATGATTAAAAACATGTAGGTTAGACATACATATCACACAAGGTCGCAAAACTCTGGATTCTTGGTAGTTCCTAGGATAGCAAAGTCCTCTAAAGGAGGTAGAGCTTTTTCGCATTTGGCTCCCAAACTCTGGAATAGCCTTCCTGATAGCGTTCGGGGTTCAGACACACACTCTCTGTTTAAAATCTAGATTAAAGACACATCTCTTTGGCCAAGCATTCAAATAATGCATCTCATAATCTTGTACTGCAGTTATATCTGATCAAATGCACATTATTATTCTTTAGCTTGGGTTAAACAAATCAATTTTGCTTGGTTGGAACAGCAGCTATGCTAATTATGTCTCTATTTGTTTCTCTGTTTTTGCCACAGGATTGGTAACTAGGATTTACCCAAGCTACAGTCTGGATCCAGAACACCGGAGAAGATATGATGCTAACCCCTCAGAGGATCTCAGATGATAACAACCCTGAAACAACATACAGAACTACCACATTTTGCTATATGTTTGATTGCATCATATAATAATTGCTGTTAATAGTATCATTCGTCTGTTTGATTACGTCTTTAATTTATTGATTAACTGACAGTCACCATTGATATGCTACTACTAAATATTGTAGAAACTTAATTTGCTGTAAAGTTGCTTTGCAACAATTTGTATCGTGAAAAGCGCTATATAAATAAACTTGAAAAAAAAATAATAATAAATATGAGGACTTCTTCCCATTTAAGTTTGAACATTTTGAACACCACCAGAAGCGAAACCTTCCTTAGCCACATCCCTAATAGTATTATCTTGATAAGATTACACAATGCATTAAAAATGTATCCGTATATCTCTGAATAAGATGCGTATGCAACACTAAATCTTTATGACTATACATGGAGCGAAATTTCCTAAACCATAAAACTGAATTTCCCACAGCTGAAATTTTCTCAGCATCTCACAATATCTCTCTGTAAACTCGATATGTATGAGTTTTCATTCCCGCCTAATGAGTGTGAAATTAAGATTTTATATTACAGTGGTCACCCTCAGCCAACAATTATCCAAAAGCACAGCTGACTCGCATGCCCCATTTTTGCAGAAGGTACATGCCAAGTGTAGACAGCTTTGGAATTACCAAATCAATTTTAATTAATTGTATAATTGTATAATTGCACCATAATTTTAATTTCACAGCACCACAATGGAAAAAGAAACTGGGATGTTTCGCAATGAGAACCATTCTGCCATTTTTCTGGTGGAAAACAGGCTTATAGTTTTTATAGCCTTTATGACTGGTAAGAATCTCTAGAAATATGCAGATGCATATTGCATAAGGCACAGTAGCAAGTTCAGTGACCTGCATTTTCTTCCAGGATGAGACTTATTCAAGGACATATTCAGGTTTTTTTTTTTAACTATAGCAGGTCTAAACTGTTTTACATACAAAATATCTGTTCACCTGATGGGAACCTGTTGCTCTGAGCTTGCAATCATTTAAACAAAAAAACTATATCTCTTTAAGGGAAAATCTGCAGGATCAAGATGCCTTAGTATATAAAGTCTAAGCAAACAAATGTATGTGAAGCAGCAACAGAGGCACCTTTCATAGCATTTTAACACTAATCTCTGCTTTAAACAACTGTGTAAGCACATCTTTCCCAAGCTTCCACACAGGGACTAATTACATGGGAACAATGCTGCCCACGTTGTTTTAGGTCAGAGCTAACATGAGAAATGTGCAGTTGTCTGTCGGTAAGCGTGTTAAGGGTCATAGTGTGGGCAGTGGCTCTTTTCCTTCTTTCTCTCCCTCTGTTTTGTGTGAATGAGTAAGCGGGACAGGTGCAGGACTATGACATCAGCTATGCACGCTCTCCTCCCCTGGTTCCCATGGTCACCACACTCTCACAGCTGCAGTGTAAAACAAATGGCATGTAACAGCATCAAAACGGCCATTAAGAAAATCAATACGCCCCCATTTTAGTCAAGCCTCCCCCTGCATTGAATCAAGCACATTTAATTGAATGATATAAGTGGCTGAAGAGTGAACTATCCATTTGCTCCCAGTTCCAGCCTGACTTTGATGGGAGTGAATCTCACAAAACCTGTCTAAGAACATGTCCAGAACATGCACTCACAGTCTCACACTAAAATGAAAAGAAAATAAGTAGTTAGATTTTGCTTTAAAAATGTATGCATTTTCATTAATGTACAGAAAAAAAGATTTTTTTATTTATTTGAATATTAATAATTGTTTTGTGAGCAGCAAATATGCATATTATTATGATTTCTGAAGGATCATGTGACACTGAAGACTTGAAGTAGTGACTGCTGAAAATTCAGCTTTGCCATCACAGGAATAAATTACATTTTAAAATATACTGAAATAGAAAAAAAAAGTTATTTTAAATTGCAATAATATTACTGCAATTACTTTTTTAATTTAAAGAATGTAGCTTGGGTGAGCAAAAGAGACTCTCTTATGAAAATCTTAATTATTCCAAACTTGTATTTATTATTAACTTTTAAAAATATTATTATATTAGTAAATTACCTTAGCAACCGCATAGCAACACCCTACCATCCTACTACCAAGTACCTTAGCATCTATCTATCTATCTATCTATCTATCTATCTATCTATCTATCTATCTATCTATCTATCTATCTATCTATCTAATCTTTAAAACTACTTCAAACTTATTGCTTTTAAAACTTTTCTAACATCCGTTTTAGCTTTCTCGCTTTCTCTTCAAAGTTTGTCTTAACAAACTTTTTTATCTAGTTATAGGCTATTAGTATTAGTATTACAGTAATGCACAAAAACGTTTTCATTAGGTTTAATTGAAATGCTTGAATAACTTGTTCTTTATACCAATTACAACTTTTTGGTTTTATTTATCAAACTATATAATTA